CTGTTAACGGCTCTACAACAGGAGCAACAGTCGAAGCAGGACCAGGGAACTCGATATCACGAGTTGGTTTGAGCTTCCTATGAAGATTATCATACTGCATTTCAATGGGAACCCATTTCTCTTCAAACATGCTCAATAACTGCTTAGCCATACGATGCACCTCATGCCCGATCGGATTATACAGAATCGCATTGTTAAAAGTAAGTCTCACATCTTCAGCAAAATCCAATGGTATCTTATACAAATTTTTCCCTAGTTTAGTCTTCACTGTACCTAAATCCATAGGTTCTTTCACAATAGTGTGATAATCATGTAAACCAAGCCCCTTAGCATCTACTGGTACATTGAATATCCATCCACACTTATGCTTCATCAGTTTCGTAAGCAAATTGTTGCAGTTCTTGAAAACCTGAACCGTACCTTTATCAGCAGCTACATTCCCGCCTTTCTTACCTCCATTCCCTGTTTTCAGCTTCTTGTTGCTCCCTATTACAGCAGTTTTAGCCATGGACACGAAACTTCCACCGACATTGTTACCTTCGGGATCGAACCGCTTGATCAAGCTCCTAACTTCGTCTAGCTCAGACTTTAGTTTCCGCTTCAAGTTCCTAACCTCAAGCTTCGAAATAGAGCTCAAGCTTATCTTCAACATGTGATGGTCATCCTCAGACGCAAACGAGTTCGACGGAGACACGAGAGGAACCGAACGCTCTTGTCGAGCAACCACCATTGGATTGGATCGGTTCTGATTTCCGCTCGCGCTCCACTTATGCTTCGTCTTCGAAGCTCCACCACCTGGTATATGGTCAGAAGACATTCCCTCTGACAAAAAATCTAGGGTTTTGGTCCGAAGTACCAAGATTGAGGATTTACAACACCAAATCGAAGGTCAGCGAGATCGAGAAAGAGAGGGGAATTAGGTTGAATCGTAGTTTTTGTCGAAGATCGCCGAGGAATTGCAAAGACGAAAACCCTAGGAAGCTATGGTGAGAGAGAGAGAGAGTCGCAGCGTCGCGAGAATAGCGTAGACTCACGCGCTTGAACTCACGCGCTTGAAGCACCCGAGGAAATTGGAAAAACAAACATAGAGCAAGGGAGAAGGGGAAAAGTAAACTTTTCAGGTGATCCTCAACAATATACTAACCCGGTACAAACTGGAAAATACCAATTAAGCGTCTTTTGGCGTAGAGTAGGTGACTATAAAGGATCGGATAAATTATTTGATTTGGCCTAATGGTGCGGTTCAATCGCTTGATCGTTACCAATCACACGATTATTTGAAACAGGCGGTTGAAACGAATGGTTGAAAAAAATGATTGGAAACAAAGTTTTTATGATAGAAAAGGTCTTTGAAAAGAGAGCTCTCATTTCAATGAGTGTTTGCGTACATAGGATGGTTGTATATCAAAAATTAATTTTTTTTTTAATATTAGTAAATTTATGTATAGATTCATGCACAGAAACGGAAAGTATATGCTACAATGGATCTTCATAATTTTATTCGACGTTCGACTATTTTGGATGGTGATATTAAATATGACGTAATTGGGAATGAAGAAATGCATAGACGATACGCAACTAATGAAGATAATATCAATTTGACAGAAGAGTACGAAGCAACGAGTGATGGAGCATATATGGCAACGTTACAATTCGTAATCAAATTGCATATATGTTATAGGTTGATCGTATGTGATTATTTAAAATTTTTATTACAATTACAAGGATATTTGTTTAGCATATACAATTATTATTTTGAAAGTGAATCTGTAAACTACTAATAATTTCTATTAATAATTTAAAAATATTTTTTAGAGACAACTAGCTGAAAAACAAAGAAACGAGAGGAAATTAGGCATATGACAAAAGGAATAAAAAAACTAAAGTCGCTGTTTCGTTTTGTCTAATAAATGATAATAATACCCCCACAATTCGGTGGCCCAATAAACAAGAAGATTTAGCAGAGATTTTTTTTTTTCAGATTAGGCAAGATATTGTGTAGGGCTTATAGGCTAATAGGTGACACGATGATAAGTTCCCAGCCACAGAAAACTGAAGCGCCAAGTTGACATTTATTACGCTACAGAGTAAGATTTTGCCTCCAAAAGATTTGTTGTGTATCTAACTATGTATGTAAAGGTGATTAGGTTTTTTTACTGCCTATAAATAAGAATAATCAGTTTACAATGCAGACGGAAATTGTTACAGAGAAAAACAAAGGTGTGGTGGAGAAAAAGTTTTAGTTCTTTATGTTGTTTAGCTTTACTCTTGTTTAGACTCTCGTTCTCTGTTTTGTTACACAAGTAATAGATTGATATGCTAGTGTTTGTATTGTTCCTTGTTGACTCTTGTTTTCCATATAAGATAGTAGATTTACAGTGTTGAACTGCAATAAATGTTATACTATCCGTAAGCAATTTATGGCTTCCTCGTACATGCACTTAAAGCTTGTTCATGTTATAAAGTCTTGCAAAAGTGTAATCAATAACTAGGTTGAAGATAAGTGGTCATGTTATAAACTCTTGCAAAACTAACTATTTTTACTTCTTGTATCCTTTCTTGTCGCAGAGATGGGCTTGCTTGTGAGAGTGTTACGTGGAGTGTGGAAAAAATCTGGAACCGGTGAATGGGGATTCCTAACTCGCCCCGGAGAAATGGCTCAAGAGAACGTATTGCAAGAGAATGAAAGTTACGAAAGGCTGCTTGAAATAGTGAGGGCTACATATCATCTCGATGACAACACGAAGTTAGCGTTAACATTCCAATTCCCGGACTGGATGCTTAAACCAAATGGAAACTAACACCACCAGTGGACCTGATTAACAATTTCTCTGTGGAGACGTTCATGGCGGTAAGGTTTGAGCACGAGTGTATGGGTTTATGTGATAACTGGCGATGATGATGTCCACCGCTACCAGGTACAGAAAAATGATAACTTCTCTGTTGGAGGTTGCTCCAAACATGTTGTTCCCTCACAAAATGGTTTGGATGTACAACCAATCAGTTATCGTGGTAAGTCTTTTGATACCTTCCAAACAAGTATGAAACCGGATAACACAATTGGTGGTATTGATGATGTTATGCTTTTTTGGCAAGGAGTTGAAGGAGAACGATACATCATGGCTAGCCAAAGTGTTTTGGAAGAGATATTCACTGCTGAGGAAATAGTTGTTTTCGAGAGAAGCCATATGGAGAGGGCAAAGAAAGTGGCTGCTGCTGGGCAGTTTCAAATGGGATCTTCAAATGATAAACCCAAACAGGGGATTCGAAACAGAACGTACGGTGGCACCAATGTCACTTAATACAGAAGGGGACAGTGTGGCGTGGACTTCTAGCTTTACAGCGGCGGTGGGACATCTAAACTTAGTCACGCCAAGTAAAGAAGGTAGATTACAATTATATAAAAACATAAATGTTTTGAGAAGTTATAGTAAGCGTACGCTAGCAGCTTTTACATTAAACAGTTTCGCAGGAGCAAGTCATAGGGTTTGAGACACCAAACAGTAATCCCCAATGCTCACAGCAAAAGACAATAGATAAGGGGAAAGGGAAGGTCGTAGATAGTGACCTTGGAGACATGCCTTCCCTGCAGCTAACAATGGGGCGTAGCTCTGTTAGTGCCCCTAATGAGCATCAAGAAGACACAGAGCCATCCGATGACGACTCTTCAGATAGTAGTTTGTTTGGTGGTAAGTCTCTAAAACAAAATATTAGTTAGCAAGTACAACTAAAATGTTATAAGATAACAATTAGTTTTCTGTGGATAATAAATCAATTGCCTTTTTGTGTGTCCTCTAGGTGATGGTTTCAAACACGAAAATGAGGTTTACGTCGGCATGATCTTCAGAATAGGTAAGTTTTTAGGCAGCATATGGTGTTGTATGCACTGTCAAGGAAGTTCCATTTCCGTAACAGCCGATCAACACCAAATATGATGATCCTAGAATGTAATGGTCGGTCTTGTCCGTGGCGTGTTTATGCTGTGAAAATGGGAGGATCAGAATGGTACCAAGTTAGGCGTGTCAGACTTGACCATTCATGCACGATTGACGAGAGGGGTGACTTCCAAAGGCTGGCTACTAGCTCTGTGATAGAAGATATGATGAGGTCAACGTACAACGGAATGGGAGCAGGCCTTAGACCAGGTGAATTACGTGAGCTAATGCGCGATAGTCATGACATTCCA